AAACTGGCTGCTAGTTGGTAGTGTAAATTTTTTGTCGAAATAGATTATTGAAACGGCACCGTTTCAAGTTAAAAATATAACCAACTCCAATTTTACTTTTCTTGTCTTCAACTTTCCCTAGCTCCCAGAAATTTACAAACCCTTAACATGAATTCCTTCTTTGTATTCTTTAAATTTACATCAATAACCTTATCCCCTTTTCTTTTTTGATTTGCCACTATTTCTTTGCATTCAAAAACACTCTATTCTAAAACCCTTTCTTACAAATTCTCCTTCCATCCTCTCAATGCCATAGTCGCTCGAGTAAAAGCTCAATCAGTTCATCAGAGGCCTGAAGCAAAAAGATGGATATGTCAGAATGAGATGAACTAGGATTATTTCTCTCTATTTAGGACCTTAGTTGTACCATTGTAAAAACCCTCTATTTTATCCTTTGATTTCCCTAATTCAATTATACTCTTCTTCCATTTCAACTGGAAAACAAAGAAAGAAATGTTGAAGAGGGAGAGATCCTTGAGGAATCATCAAAGTTATCACCTTTAGTTTTCTAGAAGAGGGAGAGATCGATGAGGAATCAACAAAGTTACGACCTATGATGTTATATTCAAATAATGTTTTTTTTCAAGTAAATGATTTTTTTTTCCAAGAGAATGTCTTCTATAACTGCTTTCCAACATTCCTCGTCCTTGGAATTTCTTGGGAAAATTCTTATTGTTGAATAATATTCATTACTGTAGGAAGTGATTATTTTGTAAAATTCTTGTATTAAACTTTTAGAATTGGGGCAGAACCTGGGAATTGGTTTTTCATGATTCTTTGCAAACTTATATAGAGGGTTCAAGAATAGAGAGTTTTTGAACGCAGAAAAACAGGGTCAAATCAAAGAAGAAAAGGGCTGAGGTTATTGGTGTGAATATAAAGGATACAAAGAATGAATTCAATTAAGGGTTTGTAAACTTCTGGAAACAGGAAAAGTTGAAGACGAGAAAAGCAAAATTGGGGTTTGCTATATTTTTAACTTCAAACCACGTTGTTTCAATAAGTCATTCCAATAAAAAATTTACACTACCAGCCGACAACCAGTTTTTCATATATATATATATATATATATATATATTGTACTTTAATTCTTATTGAGTATAAAAGTTTCCTTTTTTTAATGCCGAAACATGTGCCTCAGAATTAGAATCATGAACAAAG